GGATGCGGCCGAGCGCTCCCAGCGCCCACGGAAAGCGGGGCCGGGGTCGCTGGGGGTGGTGGGGGTCTGCAGGTGCCAGTGCACCACGCGGCAGGGACAGACGGGTGGGAAAAAGGGACACACAGACCGAACCCAGTACGTAAATACTCCTGGGGGCAGAGGAAAAGGATGCCAAGTTTTTCCCCCTCCACTTGCTTTCCCATCTCCCACCTCACCAGGACGACCCGTACCGTCCCCGTGTCCCCCTTTCTCCACAGTGACCGGGGCCACGTGTGCCCACTGCCGGCGACCAGAGGGGAGCAGTGGCACACACGAACCTTTTCCCGGCCCCTGCATTCACAGCGCAAAGTCATGGCTCCAAAATCATGTTCCTGTCGAATTGCCACTGGGGATGATGGCCAGCCGTCCAGTCACATCTGGTGGCTGGTGTCACCCTGACCACGAACTTCCTAACTGGCTGCAAATCTATCCCAGCTGGGAATGGAACAGAGCTGAGAGCTGCGAGGAACCTACAGCGGTCATCTAGCCCAGCTGCCTGACCTAACGGCGTTAGTAGGGGTATTGTCCAAATGCCTCTTAAACACCGACTTGGGGCATCAACCACCTCTTTAGAAAGCCTGTTTGAGTGTTTACCACCCTCTCCGTAAAATAAATACTTCCTAATATCCAGTCTGAACCTCCCCTGGTGCAGCTTCGAATCGTTCCCATGCATCCTGTCACTGGATACCAGGGAAAAGAGCTCAACACCTCCCTCTCCACTTCCCCTTCTCAAGATGCTGTGAGGAACAGAGAGGTCACCTCTCAGTCTCATTTTCTCTAAACCAGACAACCCCGGCCAAAATAACCAGCCCTGGGCTCCAGACTCGCTGACCCCTCAGCTGGGCTCTCTCAGCTTGGGGCAGCTCTCTGCACCAGAGCTGCAGAGCAGACCTGCTTTCACCCAGAGCTGTAATAGTGCCTGTGCCCTGGCAGCCCAGCTGTGCCATACAGTACTAGTCCAGGCTTCTCAAAACAGAAACACTTGTCTGGGTTTAAGCTCTAAATGCAAGTGAGTACTACTAAAGAGCAGTTGTGTGTGAGCCCACTGGCATGGAGCTCCCTTTGAAGTCAGTAAAAGGCTTTGCCATTGACTTCACTGGCTGGAAGAATTAGTTGTGGGTTTGGGTGCTTTTTTAACATCATCAGACATTCATTGCACTCTCCCGTGAGAGCAGGTTGAATTATCTGTTGTGAATAATTTATCCAGTGAATTTAGTCCTGTTCATGTATAAAAGTGCCATTTGCACTCAGAATTAGAAGTGTTCAATAAGAGCAATATGAGCAAGCACATTATTCAACTTACAGGTCTCTTCTGCCAGAGACAGAAGAAAGGACAGATGAGGCAGAAGCCAAGATATTGGCTGGAGGAGGAAGTGTGAGTTACATTTTACAGAGTACAATTTGTAAATGTGCCTAGCACCCAGAAACCACAGAGACAGGAGACAGAGCAGAACCTTGACCCAGAGCTGCAAGTCCCTCACCTTGACTGTGCCTCCACCAATTGTACCATGTTAGGAGTTTCCCCATCTCTTGGTCATATTTCTGCTCTTTACACAGATGAAGGAAATGTGATAAAAGAGAGAGAACACCAAATGCTCTTGAGAAAATGCAAATAGAAACAGCCAGGCGTACTTTAGAAATCTGAAAGAAGAAACACTGATCATGTATCTTTGGGGAAAAAAATGGGAAAAAATGCTAACAAATAAGACTTGGCCATCTGACTAAAATTCTCAGTTTTTGCACTTTCATCCTGGTGCTTTACTGCATTTCACCAATCCTTTATATTTCACCAGTTCTTCTTATGAGCATTGGGTCCAATGGAAGGAGACTCAGAGATACAAAAGGCAAAGGAGAGGTGACTCAATGCTTCACAGCTGTATGGAACAGACAACTTATTGTGTCATCTTTCTTTCTGTGCCAATATTTGTGGCTATGACAGAAAGAGTGGACTTTCAGCTTGTTTTTCAGCCAGCTAAAAATCCAACGGTTAGTGGAGGAAAGTGACTTGAAGTCAACCTGAAATTACTGCTTGGGAAATGTTTTGACAAACTGATATTTTTTCCCTATGCATTTGGTTTTAAAAAAAACACTATTTAAATAATCTTGAAGTACCTCTGGAAATGGATAGTCATTCCAAAAAGGAAATGGTAAAACACTGAATTTTGAAAGTGACGAAGGAAACATTCTCAATTTTTCTTTTATCCTTTTGTTTTAACCTGAAGACATTTATGGATTCATCATGAAACACAACATGCTTTTCAGTCCCCTGAATTATGGCAGGGATTTCTTTACTGCTTCCCTTCATCTCTGTAGGTCTAAAATCGAAGTCAGCTTCTGACAGTGAAAAATGTCATAACTCCACATGCTTGGCAAGGGGGGAAGAAGGACTGACAGACACCTTGCAAAGTGAAAACAAATGAGGAGCTCTAATTTAAAAGCACAGAGAGCCAGCAGGGAGCTCCTGATGACATGCAGACGAGGGGCAGCTGAGCTGCTGCTGATAGGAGAGCTGTTCCTACTGCATTTCCCCCGACCTGGCTGAGCCTGAGGCGCATCACGATGCTCCCATGCAGAGCTGCATGGCATGGCCACGCCACCAGGTGTGTTTATTCTAGCTGAAGGGGTTATCAAAAAGGGTCTGTTCTCCAAGGTGGGGTTTTTTTTTTCATGTTCAGATTGAGTATGAATGAAGAAAACTAGACAAGAAACACTATATATTAAAAAATATATATTACAAACCAGCTGCAGAGCCTCACCCTGCTCTCTCCCCACTCATTACATCAGGCAGATGCTCTCAGTTGCCCCAAAAACCGCAGTCTGGGGCACAGAATGAGCACTGAATAACATCCTAGGTTTCATCGTGTATGAATTAGTGACGGCAGTGACAGGTAGCAAATCGTCTTGTACCTCATTTTGACAGAAGCCTCAGCTTTTGCTATTTCAAGGCTGCCTCATGTGCTGAATGGGAGCACTGGGCACAGGGTGACAGGACAGAGGTGTTTGAAAATCTCTGCAGGAGTTTTTCTCTTCATGCTTCATTCCTGTGAAGCTTCAGTGACTTTGGAGAGTCAGGAGCAGCCCTCCCAACATAAGCAGGATATGCTCAGTTCTAAGACAGAATACTGACAATTTCTTGGCTGAATTTTTTTCTTTACTTCTTTTTCTTTCTTTCTTTTGTTAGCATTGTCTGTGGTCTATTTCATCACATATACTGTAGCCTCACAGAATTGTTCAGGTCAGAAAAGACCTTTAAGACCATTGAGTACCACTGTTAATTGTACATATGCATATATAATTAATGGGGCTCAAAGATGCTACATCAATTTAAAACTTGTAGGTCTTCTTAATGAAAAGCAGTGAGTCTAAATCACAGAAGGTGAATTGCAAGACTTTGGCTGGCACAGTGCCTGCATCTAGGCCCCAGCTGGTAATGGGAGAAAGTCAGCAGGCTTTTAGAAAGCAATAGATTAATTACCTTGCTAGGATCTAGAATTTAAGGATGAGTGCAGAGAGGCCCAGAGCAATAATGTGTCCATTGGGAAAACAGTCTCACTACCTAAGAAGTTACTCTGAACACAGCAGTTTCTTTTTACATGGGTAGGTGTGCTTCTGCACAGTTAAACTCCTCGGTGCATTACAGTCCCAGGAAATGGGAGAGGTGCTGTTTGCTGGATTACTAAATCAATGGGCTCATTAAGACAGACATAAGTAGTGTCAGATCTCTTTTGATACTTAAAATCTGCTTAGGGAGCCACTGGGAGTAGAAAAAGAGAGCACTTAAAACCAGAAAAAAAAAAAACCAGAAAAATAAATGAGGAATTAAAGAATCCCTCTTATTTTCCATGTGAGCATTCTTGCTGTAACACATCAGTGGCAGGTGGGTGCCCACACAGGTAAAGGGGGGAAAGTGTCTGGATTTCTAACATTGTCACTTGTTTGCATTTGTTTGCAGTGGATCAATATCCTCTAATTCTGCATATTTCCTTCCTCCATCTCCAGCCCATTCAGCAGCAGCTAGCACCCCTTCAGGACCATTGCTTTGTTACTCCTACCTCTGTTTTCCCAGGCCAGATCATTTTCCACATCCTTTCCTCAAACCAAAATTTCCTCAGCTGCAGAGACATAATGAGCAGAGGTGTGCGGTTCAGCATGACCAGAGCCTGGCTGACTCTTGCTCACAGGCAGCTCAAATCTGGGGACGTGTGTCAGGGAAAATGTTCCTAAGACAGTCTAAAAAATGCAGTATATGGAAGGAAGACTGAAGAGTGGAACGTAGAAGATGAGGGATAAAGTGAGGAAACTCTATCAGACTGTCATCTCCACACAGGCTCACCAGAAAATGCCTGAATAACACTTGGAAAACTGTCACCAGCAGAATCTGGTATCAGTGCAATGTACAGATAGAGAAGTTCATCATGACTAGGAGATGTGCATGTCCCTGTACAGTATATCTCCAGTCTCTAGGGAGATAATAAACTGTCATTACTGTGTTTTATTGGCTGAAGGGCTGCAGTACTGGGAAGTGTTCAGTGAGCAGAACAAGACCTGTTTCTCAGAATAGTGACCCAGACTCTATTTTCAGAAAATTACGTCTGAACTCCACAAATTTATAGTATTCGAAAGTGCCCACTGCAAAGATCTGCAATTTAAGTAAACCAGAACATCCTCTAAATCTCCAAGAAACCACACCAAAAAAGTGCTAAGCTACAGAATCTTGAAGACAAAATCATGCCCTTCCACAGCATAAATGTGGAGGAAAGAAGAAAGCAGCTACCAACTTTTCAGGTGTTTAAACACTGGCCCAGTCAAGCCAAAACAGGAAGAAATCTCATTTCATGAGCCTGCCAAACTGTTAGACCTGAGACCTCCAAGTGAGTGCTTCATGAGAAGGAATACTTGCCCTCACTGGTAACATCCTTGCAGCAAAGGCCAACAACTTCTCTGCATGTGAAAGGAATCCTGTGGCCACCGTGAGGTTTTCTTTTATTACTGTCCCTCAGCCCCAGCATCCCTTCTGGGTGCAATTTTGAGAAAAAAGAAAAGTTCAGCAAGAAATGGATGTTCAGGTTGAACAAAACAATGGAATTTCTGAAATCAAGTAAACCATGTGAACTGAGTAAGGATGAGGATACAGTAGTGCATCCAAGATTTTTGTAGATTTTTCTTGTCAAAACAACATTTCTGTATAAATGGCTTATATCTTGCTGTTTTAAAGAGTAAAATAGGAAAAAATAGTCACCCCCCCAAAGTGAAGCAAAACTTGATCTTGACCCCAAAGAAAATTATTGAATGTTTTCCAGTTCAGTCAACGGAC